ATGCTAAGTATAGCAGCCAATATTATTATTATTATTATTATTATTATTACACAGGATTTATATAGCGCCAACAGTTTGTGCAGCACTTTACGATATAAGGGAGACAGTACAATTACAATACATTTCAGTACAGAAGGAATAGGAGGGCCCTGCTTGTGGAGCTTACAATCTAAAGGGCCAATAGTGCTGCTTATCTAAGGATGGGGAAGGGAAAGGACAAATACACGGCACTGGCTGCAGCAACAAATGCTCTTCCTCCCACCCATCCTTAGCCAATCAGCCAACACTGTAACCCCCACCCTGCAATATTATACACTTTTACAATGGGTTCAGGCATAATTGCACAAATGCAGTCTCTGACCATCTCCTGTACTCTTAGATTGTAAGCTCCAAGGAGCAGGGCCTTCCTAACCCTCTTGTATTGATCTGTATTGTTGCTGTATTGTTCCCACTTATATTGTAAAGCGCTGAGCAAACTGTTGGTGCTATATAAATCCTGTATAATAATAATAATATCTGCAGTCTCTGACTGTCTCCTGTAGTATGTCTGCAGTCTCTGACCGTCTCCTGTAGTAGGTCTGAAGTCTCTGACCATCTCCTGTACTATGTCTGCAGTCTCTGACCATCTCCTGTACTATGTCTGCAGTCTCTGACCATCTCCTGTACTATGTCTGCAGTCTCTGACCATCTCCTGTACTATGTCTGCAGTCTCTGACATTCTCCTGTACTATGTCTGCAGTCTCTGACATTCTCCTGTACTATGTATGCAGTCTCTGACCATCTCCTGTTCTATGTTTGCAGTCTCTCACTGTCTCCTGTATTAAGTCTCTGACCATCTCCTGTACTATGTCTGCAGTCTCTGACATTCTCCTGTACTATGTTTGCAGTCTCTGACATTCCCCTGTACTATGTATGCAGTCTCTGACCAACTCCTGGACCCTATATACAGTCTCTGACCATCTCCTGTTCTATGTTTGCAGTCTCTCACTGTCTCCTGTATTATGTCTCCAGTCTCTAATCATCTCCTGTAGTATGTCCGCAGTCTCTGACCGTCTCCTTTAGTATGTCTGCAGTTTCTAACCATCTACTGTACTATGTCTGCAGTCTCTGACAGTCTCCTGTAGTATGTCTGCAATCTCTGACCATCTCCTGTAGAATGTCTGCAGTCTCTGACCATCTCCTGTAGTATGTGCCTGGTAGGTGTAGAATAGAGGGACCTTGTTTTTCTCTTATCTGGTGCACAGGCTGATTTGCACTGCATGCTGGAGCCACGTTTGTCAATGCTAAAAGTAAAGTCCTTTCTCACAGTCCCTGCTGCTGGTGGAGTAATATCAGCCTCTTCACTGCCTCCCTCCTTCAGCAAGTAAGTGCTGAGGAAAGAGCAGCTCAGTCTTAGGGAACTAGCAGCAAAACAGTGGCAGGCTCAGGCTGGCAGCTATCATCAGTGCAGCAGGCAGTGGCAGAGCAAAGGCAGTGGTCAATCTGCAGGCGCCAACACACAGAGGGATCATCTGCAGAGAATTCACCCAAAAGAGAGAAGTGCGCACACACCTTTCCCCCATGCCATGCCCTGCTGTTGCCCATGATGAATTGTACAGTCAGCAGCCAAATGTTATCATCATCATCACACAGTACAGGTGCTTTTGAGTCACAGCACCTGTATTGTGTGATTGTCATGATGATCATAGAAGGACAGTGAAATGCATCCTGCATCGGCTACATTCAAACCAGCATTTAGGGCCAGTGAAAATTATAGAGGCAGTTCCTCCTGTTGCTCTCCGCAGGTAGGTGAATTTGCTGGCCCCGTTCTCTATAATGTCAGGTCACTGGTGGCCTGCACTTTGTTTTGAGGCAGGCTCAGGGGAGGGGCCAGGGCTGGGGTCAAGGGATACTACTGTGTGTATATGTGTATATATATATATATATATATATGTGAGATGGGGAAACAGCTCTCATTGTTTGAATACTGCTTGTGTGGAGTAAATGAAATGTTTTGACTGACATTCTGTAGTTTAGCCACAAGATGTCACTGTTTTTCAAACCCAGCCTCAGACTGCATAGATATTTCTATATTCATGAAGAGGTGGAGTTTACACACAGAGTTGAGAGAGAACAAGAAGAAGAGAGAGCAGCCATGTTCTGGAGAATGGTGAATGAGAGGGGCCGTGTGAGCTGAGAATCTGATGACATCCAGGTGTGAGAGCATCCCTCCGTAACCAGAGCTGCAGCTAAGTGAAGCTGATGAGATTGCTGCCAGGAATGCTGATGAGAGCAGAGGAACTAAGCAACATATACGGCAAGACCGCATGCTTGTTGGGGAGACATTTGTTCTGTTCAGAGTCACCAGCGGATGCAAAGCAGACCCGGGTCGGTAAGATCGTGCAAGCACCTCATTTCAGTGTTGGCGCCTTGAGATTGAGTCCAGGCCTATAGTTAGTTAGGGTCTCTGTTTGTGTCAGGCCACAAGTGTTGTTACTGATCATTGGAAGAACTCCACAACTTAAAGTGACATTTCACATTGGAGAGCCGATAAAATCCTACAAACTCAAGCCAGACTGGCGTTTTGCTCAGAAGGAATACTCAGGCATGTACTACAGGACCAGTTATGGGAGGGGGAATTACTATAGACTTGTGTAAGATTGTAAGCTGTTGTGCTGCACCGCAGGCTAGCCCATACCGTACACCCATACACTGATTCCTGCTCTATTAGGGTAATAATGGGTAAGGTGTGGCAGCTTAGTTGTGCCCGCCATTAGGTATATTACTTCACTTTCTACATTTATCCATCAGAAAGCGCTGTGCTGTGCAGCACAAGGGTCTCAGCCTTTGGGTTGGGTGTATGTAAATTTATTGTATGTTTCCAGCAGTTGTGGTTGTGTTTATTTTCCACATCGAAATAAAATTCTGTTGTGGCAAAAGCTGGTGTTGGGGTTGCTTTCCTCGTTCGTGACTTCACTGTATCCTGGGGAGCCCACCCAGGTACACGGCTTACATATATACATACATACACAGTATCTCACAGAAGTGAGTACACCCCTCACATTTTTGTAAATATTTTATTCTATCTTTTCATGTGACATCACTAAAGAAATGACACTTTGTTACAATGTGCAGCAGGTAGGTGCAGTTGCTGGCCCCATTCTCTATAATGTCAGGTATCTGGTGGCCTGCACTTTGTTTTGAGGCAGGCTCAGGGGAGGGGCCAGGGCTGGGGTTCAAGGGATACTACTGTGTGTATATGTATGTATGTGTATATATATATATATATATATATATATATATATATATATATATACAGTATCTCACAGAAGTGAGTACACCCCTCACATTTTTGTAAATATTTTATTCTATCTTTTCATGTGACATCACTGAAGAAATGACACTTTGCTACAATGTGAAGTAGTGAGTGTACAGCTTGTATAACAGTGTAAATTTGCTGTCCCCTCAAACTAACTCAACACAGCCATTAATGTCTAAACTGCTGGCAACAAAAGTGAGTACACCCCTAAGAGAGAAAATGTCCAAATTGGGCCCAAAGTGTCAATATTTTGTGTTGCCACCGTTATTTTCCAGCACTGCGTTAACCCTCTTGGGAATGGAGTTCACCAGAGCTTCACAGGTTGCCACTGGAGTCCTCTTCCACTCCTCCATGATGACATCACAGATCTGGTGGATGTTGGAGACCTTGTGCTCCTCCACCTTCCATTTGAGGATGTCCCACAGATGCTCAATAGGGTTTAGGTCTGGAGACATGCTTGGCCAGTCCATCACCTTTTCCCTCAGCTTCTTTAGCAAGGCAGTATTTGTCTTGGGGTTGTGTTTGGGTTTTGTTATCATGTTAGTATACTGCACTGCAGCCCAGTCTCCAAAGGGAAGGGTTCATGCTCTGCTTCAGTATGTCAGAGTACATGTTGGCATTCATGGTTCCCTCAATGAACTGTAGCTCTCCAGTGCTGGCAGCACTCATGCAGCCCCAGACCATGACACTTCCACCACCATGCTTGAGTGTAGGTAAGAAACACTTGTCTTTTTACTCCTCACCTGGTTGCCGCTATACACGCTTGACACCATCTGAATCAAATAAGTTCATCTTGGTCTCATCAGACCACAGGACATGGTTCCAGTAATCCATGTCCTTAGTCTGCTTGTCTTCAGCAAACTGTTTGAGGGCTTTCTTGTGTGTTATCTTTAGAAGAGCCTTCCTTCTGGTATAGCAGCCATGCAGACCAATTTGATGCAGTGTCCGGCGTATGGTCTGAGCACTGACAGGCTGACCCCCCCCCCTTCAACCTCTGCATATGTAGCTATTTTATTGATGTTATCTTTTAAGATAGGATCTAATTGAAGAGTTTTGCTTTGTCCTATGGTTTATATGTCTTTATAATTGCAGTTATGGCATAGTTTTTGTTACAAGGATTGTAGTATACTGCATCCAGTGTATAGTGTATAGTTGGATCAGGCTTTAGTTAACCATGGCTCTTTAACCCAGTCCACTGTTTAGCATGATGTGGTTACATGCACCATTCACCAATATGTGTGCCACAACTTTTATATTTGTAGTGTATCCATAGGCATCCTTGTAATTTTAGTATTATAGTAATACCCTTGGAAACAATGAAGATTTGCTGAACATTTGGTTAAATGTAGATTGGTCTACCGTATGTGTAGCTAGCCTGAAACAAAAAAACAAGCTGCTATAGGGTTGGTAGCTTAGCAACAACAGAAAAAGTGGTGGAGTATATGTGGCTAATAACTGCTAGAGGCATTGAAAAGCCCTGTATTCCCTAAGAATCACAAAGAGATAAGTGCTCCTGGCAAAGGGATAGTGAAGAATATGCAGTGTGCTCCTGTGATAGCCAATTTGCAAAGGTAGATGAGCAGATATGTTAATGTATTACTAAACCCACAACAGTAAAATCAGTCTGTATATGCAGTAAGGCATACTTGTTATGCTCACTGTGGTACCTAAGGGGTTAATTCTCCACATTGTGTAAAAAAAGATGTTTGATCCTCTCCTCTTCTCTGATCCCCCTCTTCTTCCATTGTCCCCTAAATATATCCTGATAGAACAGAGGTTTGGAGACACTCTGCACATTTTCAGTTTGGTGTGCATTTCTATAGAGAGTTTTTTTTTACTTGGGAGAGTGCATGTGATCAGAACAGGGCCAATCAGCACTGTCCAGACAGAGGTCCGGGGTCCTGCATTCTCCTAGAGGAGAATGAAAACTCCTCCTACAAACTTTAACCAGTGCACTGCTGGACACTGATTGAAGTCACAAGACTGCTCTAGCTGCTGATGAGAAAAGGTATTTAGCAGTTTATATTTACTAAAATAATTGCATTTCCATGTTCTGTGTACTGTGGGAGACCAGATATAGTGAATGCAGGGTCCTGGGTTTAGTAACACTGTAAGGATAGGGATGGGTTGGAAGTAGACAAACTGGCTAGATAAAGCCTTGCTGAATTAATAGATTCAAAGAGCTCATGGTTAAAGGGTATGCAAGAGGACTGGGCTCTGTAAAAGTGTTATACCACCTCCTGCTTATTGGAAGTATTCACCAGAACTTGCAATATTATACACAGTACAAATGACAACAGACATTTTAATAGTCTGCGCTCTAGGGAAGAAAACTAGCAAGAGTGAGTGTTTCATGCTGATATAAATTTGTTTTAATGTACTGTTAATTATTGAAAATTCAACCGTTGCCGCAACTATAAGTCTGTAACTCTTGTAAGCCTTGAGGAGAAAATAATGTAACTGGAGTTTGCTTATTGTCTGTGCCTATCTTTATGTTACCTCCTGTTGCCCAGTGGGCATACTGAACAGATTCCCATGCAGTTTGACTTGTCCTGGCAGGCACAACTTAGTACATTGCTCAAAAAAATTAAAGGAACACTTTTTAATCAAACATCAAGTCAATTAAACTCCTGGGATATTGATCTGGTCAGTTAAGTAGCAGAGGGGTTGTCAATCAGTTTCAGCTGCTTTGGTGTTAATGAAATTAACAACAGGTGCAATGCAAGATGGGCAACAATGAGACAACTCCCAAAACAGGAATGGTTTTACAGGTGGAGGCCACTGACATTTTTTTCTACTCATTTGTTTCTGACTGTTTTTCATTAGTTTTGCATTTGGCTAGGGTTAGTGTCACTACTGGTAGCATGAGGTGATACCTAGACCCTACAGAGGTTGCACAGACAGTCCAACTCCTCCAGGATGGCACATCAATACGCGCCATTACCTGATGGTTTGCTGTGTCTTCCAGCACAGTCTCAAGGGCATGGAGGAGATTCCGGGAGACAGGCAGTTACTCTAGGAGAGCTGGACAGGGCTGTAGAAGGTCCTTTTACTCATCAGCAGGACCGGTATCTGCTCCTTTGTGCAAGGAGGAAGAGAATGACCTCCAGCAGGCGACTGGTGTGAATGTCTCTGACCAAACAATCAGAAATAGACTTCATGTGGGTGGCCTGAGGGCTTGAGGTCCTCTAGTGGGCCCTGTGCTCACTTCCCAGCACCATAGAGCTCGATTGGCATTTGCCACTGAACACCAGAATTGGCAGGTCTGGGAGGAAATACCCCAGGACACCATCCATCATCTCATTAGGAGCATGCCCCAACCTTGTCAGGCATACATGCAAGCACGTGGGGGCCATACAAACTGGAGTACCATTTTGAGTTGCTGCAATGAAATGTCAGAAAAATGGACTAGCCTGCTGCATAATTTTTTCACTTTGATTTTCGGGGTGTCTTTGAATTCAGTCCTCTGTAGGTTGATAATTTTCATTTCCATCAAACTATGAGGCATCCTTACATTCCTAACATATTACCCAGTCCATATCAGTATAGATATCCAGAATGATATTTTTCCTCATTGAGATCTGATGTGTTTTCAAAGTGTTCCTTTAATTTTTTTGAGCAGTGTATATGGCAGGCTGCAACATTTCCTTCAAGAGGGTAAGCAGGGTCAAAATCCCAAGTTTCTGAATGTAGAGCATTATTATAGCAGTTTTCATTATTAAGCTGTTAAAACAAATTATTTAAAACCTTTACAAATAGGCTTTTTGAAGTTTTTATACAATTTTCCTTAGTTTTTTGATATGACATCCACTCAAGTTTGAGCAAGTTTGATGTGCTTTATTTATTTTATAATTATATTTATGAAATAAATTATATTTGCAGAGTATAGCATATTTCTATACCATTCATTGAGGTACACAGTCTGATAAGCAATTAATCTTGGGGTTATACTGGTTTACACAGCTGTGTACAGAAGAAACGGACACTAGTCACATAGATAACTGAAGGCCAAGCCTCTTTAGGCTGTGACTTCTCCCACTCACACCTGCTTATTTTCACTTAGTGTCCTCAGGAGAGTGGATGTGTTTTCTTCAGCTCTGCAGCTTTATATTGGTTTGAAAGCTTTTTCTACTATCAACAGCTGCTGCTATTTTCAGGACTGATACAGTACTGATAAATTTGGAAGTCTCTCCAGACAGCTATCAAGCACAGGTTTTCCCAGCTTCATAAAGTATACTGGTTTTCTCTCTGTGACATCCCTGGTTGTGTTTCCAATCAGCCAAGAAGTGCAGATTTTTTTAATGAATTATGTATACTGATGTTCTTTCTGCGATGGTCCTGCAGTTGGGAGTGTCTACCCATTTGTGTTCCAGTTCATACAGAACTACTCTTTCTAGCCAGGCCAGTATGACTGGGGATTCCTTATGGAATTATCAGCCAGAGCTGCGGCAGTTTTTGTCCCTGTCTGTGAATATACTATTTACTCTTTTGAGTACCTTGCAGGCTTATGCCAGGTTGATGTTTCCTCTAGGCTGAGGTGGTGGTTATGTGTGTAGTTTTGCTATAGAGGCAACTGTAGCTGCTGGCCATTGCGAAAGGGTTAAATCTGACCTTTTACTACTGGACCTGCTTTATACTTTATGTAATTCACAATCTCTCCATATGGGGGAGCTATCCTTTTTTTACTGTCTCAGACTCTGAGTAACAGAGGAACTGTAAGTCTGCAGCTAGGCATAACAAACTGTAATTTTCATATAGCTGTCTCCTTCGCCTTTGATGACGGCATGGAATTGGTGTGCCACTCATTGCCTTTTGACTGGCCGTGCTCTCTTAGACCTAATACGACCTGGGTCTTGCAGTCCGAATTCTGGACACCATTGTACACTGTGCTTTTCTCAGGCTAGCTTAGGAATCACTGTGTGGAGAGTACAGAAATTGGTAGACTCCCATACTGTCGTATTAAATTGAAATCACAAAGTGCTTTTATTAAAATACACTCACATGTATAAAAAAGGTAACGGTCCCTTTAAAACCACTGTAAAATCACCACTTCTGGGTTCTGTGTGCATATGATGCCACTTCCAGTAAATGTGTTTTGTCACGTGACTTCCTCAGGATGTGACATAACGTCCAGAGGTGTTTGTTTGTGGGTTATTGTCTTTTGGTGAGCGTTCTACCTGCCGGGTATATGAGTTGAGAGTTATGTATGATGTTTGGCAGTAACTTCATATTTGTTTTCATGCATTAAAAAAATTGAGTTACTACAATAGGAGACTTCTTTTCTCTTGATATAACATAATGCTGTGATGGAGTGGAATTGGTGATAGGGGGCTACATTTGAAGAGGCAAATCTTCACAGAGCTTAGCTTCGTCCTCCTGGATTATATGAAAAATGCTGTATGACTCACTTTATAAGTGGTCAAAGAACACTGGTAAGCCTCCTTTTTCACTTGAGGGATAAAAGTGGTGAAGGACTGTATTGAGTTTGAAGATTTCAAGGACACATGAAAATATAGGACTTTTTACATTATCACTTGATTTGTAATTGCACATCACTGGACTGTGCTTTATTTGTTTTAGATTTCACATATTGAGCGCTGGTTTTGTGTTGATCGTAATGACTAGAGATGAGCGAATTATTCAAAAATTCGGTTCGGCTGATTCGCCGAATTCGCCGAATAAATTCGCTTCGAGCCGAATATATTCGCTGCGAATTTAACTTATAAAAAGGGTGTTTCTAGGCTTCAGAGAGCCTTTATATTAGTGCAGAACACTGTACCTTTAATTTAAATGCCCTTGGAGTCTGCTGAAGAAGAGGAATAATACTGTCAGTCAGTATGACATGCAGATGAGTGCCGTCGATCTTAGAATCACCGCACACTTCACTCATTTGGGCAGTCACGGGGCCAAAACCAGAGTGTGGAGCCACAGTGTGGCGGTGGAGGCAGCAGCAGCAATGGGAGGCCATACAGCACCCTATGACAAAATGGAACCCACCAGCAGTGTGAGGAGACCTGAAAGTGGCACATGGCAGAGTGTGGCAATGGAGACAGCAGCAATGGGAGGCCGTACAGGGACCCATGACACACTCTGGACCTGGCAGCAGCATGAGGAGGCGGTACAGGGGCCCATGACAGATTACGGGCCTGGCAGCAGCATGAGGAGTCGGTACGGGGGCCCATGACAGATTACGGGCCTGGCAGCAGCATGAGGAGGCGGTACAGGGCCCATGGCAGAGTGGCGGAGCGTAAGCAGCTAAAATTGAAGGCCATACAGAGGCCTATGTTAAAAAGTCCCCCCAGCAGCAGCGTGGGGAGACGACTATCAAGAGTCCAATGGCAGAGTGGCGGAGCAGAAGCAGCTTCAATTGAAGGCCATACACAGGCCTAGGTTTAAAAGTCCCTCACAGTTAATTCCAATAACGAACTCTACTCCTCCGTGCAATCTACTTACGAGACCCTGGGCAGGTCTGGGTCCAATTTGTGGTAGAGACTGGTTTTGTTCAGCCATGCTTGAGCGAGTAATAACAGGTCTGTGCTGCCCTTTGGTGTCTGGCTTAATGCGCACAACACTGAACGTCCCAGCGTTTGTCAACGATTTGCCGTTAAGTGATGCAAACCCGCTGAACCACGTTCATGAGGAGCCGGTACAGGGGGCCAAAAAATATTACCGCCAGCTGGCGTGTAAATGGATTTAACTCTTTGAACGTACAATAGTGGTTGTGAAGCAGAAAGTCAGTTTATTTAGCACAATCGGTCAATTGCAGCTTGCCGTTGGCTGGAAACTGTACGTTTATGTCACTGGAATGCACTAATCACCCAAAAAATATTTACCGCCACCCGGCGTGTAAATGGATCTAACTCTTTGAACGTACAATAGTGGTTGTGAAGCAGAAAGTCAGTTTATTGTACACAATCGGTCAATTGCAGCTTGCCGTTGGCTGGAAACTGTACGTTTCTGTCACTGGAATGCACTAATCACCCAAAAAATATTACCGCCAGCCGGCGTGTAAATGGATTTAACTCTTTGAACG